GTACTGCAACGAAGATGGGTTCCTGGAGATGGCAGACGGCAAGATCGCCAATACCCTCTGCGTTCAAGGATCAAAGCACATGGGTGTGAAAGTGCAGAACAAACTCTCAAAGTCTGTCTCTTTCTGTCGCACAGACTATCCCGGTATGGTAAACACCCACCCTCCCAATGCACTCGCTTACACGTGGCAGGGACTGAGTCCATGACTTTCCCAGTCACCGTCGGTCCTGGTGAGACCGGCTTTCTAGCCAATCCCGATCAACAGAAGTACTTCTTTTGGCAAGGCAAGAAAACTTCAGCTCAGTACTACGTCAACAAACAGGGCGTACCTGAGGACGAGGCTTGTACATGGGGTACAGAAATGGGAGGCAAGGGCAACTGGGCGCCGGCGGTCTTTGGAACATCTTTCGATGACGGTCCGATGCAGGAAGGTTTCTCCAGCCTGAAACAAAACGAGCTATGCAAGAAGGAGCGACTCGGCTACGACATCACCTTCATTGGCGATGGCGTTGTATCTCCTTGCCGGTACAAGAGCGCCACAAACCAGTGGTGTCAAGCTGACAAGTGCTGGGAAGACCCAGATCGCGGCTGCACTGTATGTCACTCTATCGTCCTTCCGTCAATCCAGACAATCGCTAACTTGGACAGGCTGCTATTATGCATGGCGATCTCACTGTTGTACTATCGGATGGCTAGCACACCCGGTCTTAGTGCAGCGTCAAACGCATGTACCCCACTGTCTTGTCACTTTCCTTGGTCTGTCTCTATTAGATCCTCGGCTCTCACGACACTGTTTTCACTATTTCCCACTTCCACGTCAGCCTATTTCAGCAGGCTCATGTATTCCTGGTCAATACTTTCACAATGTCGAAGGCCCGGCGGACTGCGGCAACGATCTCGACGGAGCTTTTGGAGGAGGTTTCGGATTTCTTGAACGGATTACCAATTACCTTTCTTCGGATATGTACACATTTTCTCTTCTGTTAGCAATAATATCGAGATCTTTATGGGCGGTGATCCACGTGCTGGTCGTGATGCATAGTCTTCTTGGACTTCGAGGTCGTGAAGGGCTCTTCGCTCGTTGAAGCCAATGGTGGATTGACTTCAATGTCTGACGTTGATACTATACACGATTGCAAGAAAAGTGACACACGCGAATCAAACAATACTCAGGCAGTAACTCATAAAGCGTAAACATCGATTCACTATGCTATCGTACGGCAACGAAGTCTCCATCAGCGCGATGCCGGGGTATCGTCTCAGTACACCAATCGGTGAAACAACAAAAAATGCAAAGTGCAATCCTCCGTGAGCCAAACTGCCAACTCTTGTGATGCTGCTAAAACACAATTGCCCCCTTCCATGACGATGCAACGGTAAACGATCCACCTGTCACACTGTGACGACGGCGAACGTGTAGGAGATGAAGTTGGATTAGACTGAATGGAGATGTAACGTATAGCGGGCGTGAGGGCGGGCTAGTCGATGTGCTGAAGGATAGCGGGCTGTAATAGGCTGCGTTGCCATACCTGCCATTCGTAGCGCACCTTGACGCATACAAGCTGATGATGTTGATGCATATCGTTAAACCGTGTCGATGACTCGCGCGTAAGTGCGCGTCGCTGTGATGTAACGTGGAACAATCGAGAGGTCCTTAGTACGAGCAGCAGTCGCTTTAAAAGCGAAGTCACTCGATCCAAAGGAACCCCATGTAAATGGTTTGCCTCAACTCGGGTTTGGATTGAAGCTGAGGAAGTCGGTCGGGTCATTCATGTTGAGGGCCAGACTCGGGTCGAAACCGAGAAACGAATCATGCTCTGCAGTCGTCGTCGGTGCTGGGTCCTCTAGAGGTTCACCGGTATGACCGCCGTGTGTAAGACAGCCGACGCATGCGCAGCCGTCTCCGCATTGACAGGTGCCAGACGCGTCTGAACAGCTTGGTAGAGTCATCTCGTTCCAGAAGTAGGATGATGGCGATAGCGTTACGGTGTCTTCGTCTTTGATGTCGCTTGGGCTGCTGGCTGCGGGTGATCCTATGGTGTCGGCTGACTGTTGCAACGTGTCCCTTGGCGCTGACATGGATGGTGAATAACCAAGGCTGCTGGGGAACTGGGCTTGCGGCTGGCTTGGTACGGGGTTCAGTTGCTGTGGCCAGTCCCTGGGCAGCACCATTGGTACCTGGGGCATGTTTGCCATATCCATACTCTGTTGGAAGCTCATCTGCGTTGGTGTGGGTGTTGCCAAGCTTTGTTGCATTGGGCCGAAGTTCAGGTTGTGACCGGCTTCCGCTCCATAGCCAGGTTGATGAGGGTAGGTAGGCATGTCGTAGAGAGGTGGAGGCATCCCTCCGAAGCCGCCGTTGTACTGAAAGTGTGCCATGATCCTAACATATTCCATCATTGTAGCGTTGTTCGGATGCGCTGCGCATCCAAAACAGCTACATGACTCTCCGCAATGGCAGTTGTGTTCGGGGACGTGTTGACCGATGTGAGGACTTGCAACAGACGGTGACATGGGAGGATTCGTTGACGGGCTCATCGATACGGAATTTTGGCGATGATAGGCTGCCGCTGCATGGTTATAGATTGGAGTGCCGAGACCGAAGGGGTTCGGTGCAGGCGATGGTATTTGCGCATGGAAGTTTTGGTACTGTGGGATCACCGCTTGAGCTGGAAATTGGAATTGATGTCCCATATGTTGATAAGCGTGTGACTGGTCGTTGATGGGTGCATCTTCCTGCTTCGTTGAACAGCAAGACTTCTTCTGCACTGGCGGCTCTGGAGCTGGTTTGGCTTTGGCTTTGCTGCTACAGCAGCCTCCTTGTGCTGGTGCTGGTGCTGGCTTGGCTTTGCTACCACAACAACCTCCTTCTTGAACTGGCGATAGAACCGGCTTCGGCTTGCAGCAACTTGAGACGGGCTCGTTTTGCGCAGGGAGTAAACGTGGGGTTGAACTTGCACTCGAAGGGAGTGACGCTGCGTTGCTACCACTTGTCTCTGAAGGCGTATACGTGATGGAAGAGGCATCAGTCTTGGCGTCAAAACCAGCCTGAATGGCCTTCTCGAGGTTGTACGGGGTGACGGCTGCAGACTTACGCCTGCCTTTTTGGATTCGACTGTTTCCTGCAACGGTAGCTGTAGGCGCAGCTCGTTCCGAAGGGCAAGCACATTCAGACGCTTTGGGAATTGTGTAGTTGATGACGACACGTTCGCAACTGCATGAGCCAGTCGGATGTGGACAGCTACTCAAAGGTCGACCCGGCTTTCGAACCTCGACAAGCACCCGATCTCTGTGGTCGCATTTCGACGAGCGATGGCCGCGGATGCACGGACCGCTGTTGAAAGTCAGTTAAAGTGCACAGCGAATGAGCAGCCTGCGCAATGCGATGCAAGCCGCAGTCGCTAAAGAATTTCTCGGGTACCTGCTGTATGTGCGTAACAGATAGCGAAGACGAGAGGGTAGGACAATGCAGAACAAGGAGCAAGACGAATAAGCGGGAGTACCTACCAGGCGACCTTCTTGCGCTCTCCATTGACTTCGGCCCACATGATGCGGGGCTGATATGAGGTCGAAATAACTTGCTCAATCCGCGGCAGGTTACCACCAAATGCGCCGTGTATCGGGGACGAAGTAAGACTGCTGATGGAAACAGCTTTTGTCCAAGCTTACTGTACACCGCGCACGTGAAAGTCTTGCGGAGGGGTGAGGTGGCGTACGGCACGGAAGACAGTGCAGTGGCAAGAGTCTAGGCTAAACGTACGACTCTCGTTGGATAGGAAAGTGGCCGACAGGCTTCAATGTGGTGCGATGTAACTATCCGAAAGAGAAGGTAGACTCGGTACTCGGCTTGGCTAAGTGATCTGTGAAGGGTCCAGCTCCGAGCGCCTGGAGCGTTGATAACCCTGAGCGCTGCCACCGGCTTCCCACAGTGTCGGTGATAATACTGTATAAGCACAGGCGTTGGTTGATGCAGTAGCGATCTTGAGCGCGGAACGGATGAATGGTGGATCGTATGCAGGCGGGCGCACGTCGGAAATGCACACGGCAACAGCGGCAGGGTCCTCAGTTGAGAGCCGGCGGAATCAGGGCGCCGGTTGTACTGGATTACCTCCCAGGATGCGGTCTGGAGAAATATTGCCTTGACAGGGCCCAGCGTTGGTGGGGACGTGAGATACCAGTTCGAAACCGCAGAAAGAACACCGCCGTCACCTCTCCCCACTAGACGGATGAATGACTCGGGTCTCCAGTTGTCAAGGCGTGGGATCTGCTGGTCGGCGCTCGAAGGTTTGTCGTGGATTGAATGGATGCGACGTTTGGCGGAGGGTTGGATTAGGCTTAGTGCCTTAGCGTTGAGCAAGTTTCTTACTAAGCGGTCTTAGTCGCTTCAGGGCGGCACAAGCAGAAGGTGCGATGATGGAGAAATAGATGCCAGGCGATGTCTCAGCGGTAAAGTAAGCGGAGGAAGTGCTGAGATAAAGTACGTGCAAGGCGGGAGTTATGAAAACGTGACCTACGGAGAGCAGCACCTGTGCCTGCTCAGATCATGGTCAGAAGAACCGTGGAAACGATGCTGCGGCCGCCGGGTATATCACTGGAGCGTGGGGAATCTGGCGCCGAGCGGACCCTGGCGCGCTCAGATGAGTACCGCGATAATTCAATCGGTGTGGGCGCGATTGGTAGGCCGTGGTATACATGAGGCGTCGCTCGAAGCCACCTGGATCACGTCCCACGCCATCGGGCTGGTGCAACGCTCGCTGCCACAGCCAACGAGCGAGCGGCAGACCCTGCGGCCGTTTGCAGCGCATCCTGCCTGGTCAGCCTTCAGACCCCGTTGATGACGGCGCTCCGCTGTTTCGAAGATTACGTCTGTCTGGAACGCAGCTGAGATAGGAAAGGTCGTGGCTGGTGATCTAGGCACGTGCCACTTGTGGCTCCGCTCTTCGAACACCCAAAATACAATCTTCGCCAAGACCATTGTTTCGTCACAACTTTCCTTTCATCATGTCCTCAGAAGCCGACGAGGAGGGCCTGGACCTGTTCCAAGAGCCTACCGATTTCTATGAACCAGAAAAGCAGGCCACATTCGCGTCGCATCAGCTGCTTTCCGGCAAAGAGCTCACTGTTCGTTTGGTTGGTCACAACCCTTTGTGGGTAAGTCATGCACTTGATCACCGACATGCCGAAGCACTGTATGGAACTTGCCAATGCAACCACTATTGGCTCCCGTTCTTCTAGAAGACTTCTAGAAAGCCCGTGGAATTTTCGGAAATGCTTCGATACATTCGCTGAGTTCTGACGTACTTGAACTGCGCCTGGCACGTTCACTGACACATTCAGGGGCACTTTCTATGGAATGCAGGGCGCACTATATCTGAATACCTGGAGGAGAATGCAAAAGAGCTCGTAGAAAACCGGACGGTTCTCGAGCTTGGCGCCGGAGCAGGTCTTCCAAGCCTTGTCTGTGCTCTCAACGGTGCCGCTCAAACGGTCGTTACGGACTATCCCGATGCTGAGTTGGTCGAAAACCTGCAATACAATGTCGACCATTGCGAACTACTTTCTAAGCCACCCAAGATTGTGGCGAGGGTTTGTGACTGTGCTCAACCTTAGCAAACATCACTAATGTATGTACAGGGGTACCTCTGGGGTGCGCCTACCGGTGACTTGACGAAATATCTGGCTGATGGTTCGGGCTTTGATGTCCTCATTTTGGCCGACCTTCTATTCAACCACTCGGAACATGCCAAACTCATCAAGACTGTCCAGCTGACCCTCAAGAAATCGCCGAACTCCCGAGCCTACGTCTTCTTTACACCATACCGCCCGTGGTTGTACGAGAAAGACCTGGCTTTCTTTGATCTGGCCAAGGAAGCGGGCTTTACCGTTGCTATGACGTTCGAGAAGGTCATGGATAAGGTCATGTTCGAGGAAGATCCTGGTGTGAGTCTTGCGGATCGCTTACTCTGTAGACGTCACTGACCGAACTTAGGATGAACTTCTTCGCCGGACTGTCTTCGGCTACGAGCTGACTTGGAACGCATGAGGCTTGTTCTCAGAGTAGCAACGAGTAAAGCACAATGTTTTCCGCAGGCCAGACCAATACGTCATGGTACTCGTCCGCCGTATGTGGGGACCAGTCCTGAAGCAACAGAACTTTGGTACGCAACTGCTCAGTTTTGTTTTGAGAGCCTTTCAGCAGTTGTGTGAGCGGACTTTTGCCATCGCATCTCACGCCATAGCCTTCCCCAAGCGAGATTCGTATATCCGACTCCAGTAAGTCGTGTATGATTTTGAAGACGTCCGGCAAGCATGCATAGGATCGACTTTGCGGGCTTTCAGACATGTAGCGGTACGCGTATAGTATGCATAATGCCTTTCCAGCCTCTACCCTGCATATCTTGTTCACTAATTCTAACACATCCCCTTTCTACGCGACATTGTGTACGTACTCCGTTACAGTCTCACATCGTGCGTTGCGGGAGCGTGAAGAGGGCTCTATTGCACAAAACACTGTGACTTCTCCTATTGTATGATTGTACTGATAGACTCACTAGGCACGCAGAACAGATTCACTTCCCGCTGGGTATGCTGCGATATGCCAACACACCGCGCGAAACACTGTTCACTCCGTTCAACATATGCCTGGGCGAAGTTCCTCAGTATGGGACATAGGCAACACATCACTCCCTAAAGGTTTTTCACGATCAGCGCTCTAGATTCATCACCCCTTCTCACCTCTGCTCAACTAATCTCATGGTCGTGTCAACGCTTGGGTCCCGAGTGGCATCTCTGAGCCCGGGCGGCTGTGTCGGATGGCAAAGTCGGACTGATCTAGTATTTCCAGTGTCTCCCATTGCCCCTTCCCCAGCTCCTGACCCATCTAGCTTAGATGTTACGTCACACCAAGGCGCAAGCGATGCAGTGGGGCTGAGAGGTAGCGTCAAAGGATACACGCCACCCCCACTCCCAACTCCTGTGGAGCGAATGATGAGGAACTTGCCTGTCAAAGGCCAGCGTCCTCTCCTGCAACACATCTCACGCCATCCGATGACCCTCGCTGATGTCGAGGCTTTGGTCCCTGCACTCATCGGTAGACACAAGATCATGGACCAGATGGTCATAAACATTGGTTACTTCAATGCTAGAGGCTTGATATCGTCTTCTGACCTCGAGCACATGCTTATCCATATCCTCGCTGTAGGTGACGAACAGCATTACCTATACGAAACAACACAAGCCCGGATTGAACTGGAACGCCTCCGCTATCAATACTGCGAGCGCATGCAGCGCCAAACTCGGATCAAAGATGTCAAGGGTTTCAAGAAGACGGGAAGACTAAGGAGCAATGTCCAGCATTGTGAGTCTATTGGCGACTTTTCTCGTTCCAGGCTGCACAGTGGGCCGGGCCTAACGGATCGGAAGTATCCCAGGGTCCGGCTGCCGCCCAATGATACACGACAGGTGAGCGTGATACCCAATCTGCCAGTGTCGAGAATGGATATGGAGGTCGAGCATTGTGATGTGTCGACGAGGACCGGATCGACCCCCGAGTTTCAGGATGCGAGGATGGAGATGAGCGACAAGATTGTCGTGAACCTTCCTAAAGAGCCTTCATCCCACGCCCAAACACCGCCTAAGCGTCGGAGACGAAGAAAGCAGTCCAAAATACCTTGAATCATTAGAAATAGCAAAATTAGTGAAAGTTGACCTCAGTGATGAACGATGCATGCCTGTGAGGTTGAAGTGTTTGCGGGGGCTAGCGCCGTTGACCGATAGAGCTTACCTAGGTATCCATTGCCGAGGTTCCATGAGGCTTCACGACTCCTCGACTGCCGACCACGATGACGCGCTACAAACCACCATGACAGTCTCATAGCGATGCTTGCCATCTCTATCAACATCAATCTATCATGACCTCCTCAAAGCCACCAAAAGCCATCCTGTTCGACATCGGCGGGGTTGTCGTACGTACCTCCTCACACTGCCACCTGCCCAGCCATCCATCACTATGCGCGACAGGACCACGTTGGCTAACGTGTCTCATTACAGGTCATAAGCCCTTTCCAAGCCATCCTCGATTACGAAATTGAGAACAAGATCCCGAATGGCTACATAAACTTCGCGATCCAGAAAGGCCCTCACGACACCGGCGCCTGGCAGCTCATCGAACGCGGTGAAGTCGAACTAAATGACGACTGGTTCGCGGCCTTTAAGAAGCAGCTTATGCGACCGGAAGTATGGTCGCAATATCTCCAGAAGCTTGCGCAGCAAGAGAGCGTCGGTGGTGGGCAGGCGATTGAGGGCGGGAAACCACAAGTACCAGACATCGACGCGAAGAAGCTGTTCTGGCGCATGATGAAGATCAGCCGAGCACCAGACCCGTACATGTATCCTGCGCTGCGTAAGCTGGGAGAAAGCGGAAAGTTTGTCCTGGGCGCGTTCAGCAACAACGTTACCTTTCCCACGGGCATTCTCGACGACGAAGGCAAGCTCTTCACCAAAGAGCTTATCCACGCTCCCGCCCCGAATCCCTACGCGAACGACTCCACAGATATCACAACATGCTTTGACATCTTCCTCGGCTCGGCGGTGGTTGGCGTCAGGAAACCGGATCCGGAGGCATACAAGCTGGCTGTACGGGAGATGGACAAGATCGCGAGGAAGAAGGGCATGGGGAGTGTGACAGAAGGTGACACTCTCTTCTTGGACGATATCGGCATAAATCTGAAGTTTGCGAAGAAGACGGGACTAAGGACAATCAAGGTGAATCTGGGCAAGACAAAGGACGCTGTGAAAGAGCTCGAAGAGGCGGTTGGCATACCATTGTTGGACGAGAAATCTAAGCTATGAAAGCCGACATGAATCTTATTTCTGATCATACAGACTCTGTCACCCAATTCCACTTGCTTCAGAGATCACACGCCTCCTTAGCCTCCAAATCCGCCATTCTCTTATGCGCTGCACTCTCCACCAATCTGATGACAGCCAACAGCGCAGACTGACGACTCAGCCCTTCCTGAGGCGCAATGAGGAACTTTCTTTCTGCCCCGCCAACTGACTTGGTGTTCCAGCCAATGACGCACGCGCGGAACTTCTCGATGCCCTCTCCTCTGCTTTCGTATCTACCCATGAGGAGCAGTGGCTCTAGCGTCGGGCGATACGTGGACGTGATCAACTCTGTGATTGTGTTAGTAGAAACATAAGGTTTGGTGAAAAGGGGTGTTGTACTGCTGAGATAGCTCAAGTGATTCTCATCGCTATCCAAGAGAGGCGTAGCAGGAACGCTGGGAGGTGCTGGTACGTGAGGGCGATTCTCATTGCTCGATTCATGTGCCATGGTACTCATGATGACTTCAGTCTGCGAAGCTTTATTGGAGAGTTGCCCTTCAAGGCTATGTATCGGTCGGGCTGCTTGCTCTCTGACATCGCAAGCATCCTCAAGAAGCTTTTGTCATAGCAAAGCAAGCCTTGTATTTTGTTGCTGCTGACAACTATAGCAATCGGAAAGGCAGTCACCAAGTGTAAAAGACGCACGAGGTTCCTTTCTAGCATAAGAGACGACTGACACACCTGTTCTCTTCTACTGCCTCTCGCTCCAGACATGGCCAGCCCCCAGTATCGCAAGAAGACGTCAATACTCTCACGTGCATCAACCTCCTGATTACAGGCATCTTTCCGTTCCCCCACCCGTCCGCCGCTGTGAAATTAGGCTGTCTGAAGAACGAGCTAGGAGTTGTCAAATATCGTGCGAGGGTCATTTCTTGTTATCACCATCAGTTTGACACTTCCAGCGGAAAACCCGTGAAGCTGATGACGGATCTCATCGAGGTGCAGGTCGCAGGTTCGCGGAGTGAGGTGCTGTTGAAATTGCTAGAGGCAGTGGAAGATTATGCTGGACAAAGAACGTTGTTCCCGGAAGTATCCGACGAGAGAGAGAGCGAAGAAGACTACGCTGAAGAACGACGACCGGGAGAGCCCGAGGAGAATGAAGACGAGTAGGACTTTAGGAAGATAATGCAGATGATGTCCAGGGGAGCGGCAGAGGGCGAGTATGATTTGTTGGAATCACAACAGATCACGCAGCAGGAGGGTTCTTGAGAAAGACACTGATTTGAGGGATTTGAACATCATGGTAAACAGCAAAACGCCCCATTTGCATTACCCAGTCAAGCAGTCTTGCATACTCCAAGGACCCTTGTGACAACATGCCTGACTGATCCCTCCGAAAGCACCCTTACACCTTATGCAAGGAAAAGGTCAGAACACCCTAGGGCCTACATTGACGTTTGGCCACCTACTTCGCATCTTTCTATCTCAATGTAGGCCACAGACCCACTTAGGGCTTTTACTTGAAGTGCTCACCCCCTCTCACCCCTCCCCACACTCCCACTCCCAACACTCCCACCCCCATCCCTCGCCGCCTTCTTCTTCTGATAATTATCATCATTCAACATCATCCTGCCAATCTCCATCTCCACAACTCCCAACAAATGTTCCAGCGCCTCTTTCCTGCTCCCACCCATTTCCGGGCCCAGTTCGAGGCTTCTGACTCCGCCTTGTTCGATGCTGTAGAGGGAGGCGCAGAAAGCGAGAGAGGGGTCGACGGCTTTGGGTTTGGAGCTGGAGTTGGCGGAGGCTTTGGGTGGGGGGTGGCGGCCTAGGATGCAGGAGGGGGGTTTGAGGGGGGAGAGGATCCATGATTGTGCTGAGGGGGAAGGTGAGTGGGTGGGAGGATGGGGTTGGGGGGTTTTGGTACTTACTTTCGATTAAGTCGATGAGATATCTAATCTCCGTTTCGTCTTCACCTCGCAAGTTTGGAAGAGGTTCGCGAGGTCGGCCGAGGCGCTCAGGCATACTTGCTGCCAATGAATCCATGTCTGATCTCTGCGACTTAAGATTGTAGACATGAAGACCATCTAGAGACGGTCTATTATGGCGAGAAACCGGTGAAGAAGCCGCGTCATCTACTAGGATCAGTGGTGTACCAATGTGTTTGTCTAGTTGTACAGTGAGGCGGGAAGGTCAACAGGTGGGTGAGATCAC